GGGCCTGGAATAAAGTGCATTCACCCTGGTTACCTGATTGGCTTTCAGTTCGAACGAGGTACCGTGTCTGATATTTTTTTCCCCCCAAGAGAGAATACCCTTGACAGCCGACTCACTCCCTCCTTTCAAATTATCTACTCAGTTTGGATATGAAAGTTATTTTGTATAGAAGAGGAATTTGGTTGCCTTACGTTAGTCTAGAAACCTGCAGCAGCTCCACTTTCCTTCCTGCTTTAAACATTTCTTTAAAGTGGAAAAAAAAAAATCCACTTTTCTTTTTACAAAATGCCTTTGTACTGAATAGGTTGTGTTTTCACAGAGACATTAAGTGGTTTCCTCCCATAGTTTTAAAGAGATTTAAAGAGAAGACAGCAAATTAGAGAGGCCTAATGGAGAACCGCACAGGCAGACCTTAATAGCCTTCAAATATCAAAAAGCTTATTAAAAGGACCACAAGACTGGGTTTTCAGTTCATGAGTGATCAACTTAAATTAATGAATCAAGCAGACGTTAGAGGGCATTTGAGTGGAAGGGATAAAAGGTAATGGGTGACACAGCAGAAGAGACAGGACTAAGAATGACAGAAAAATGGGGGTACATCTTTGATACAAACAGCAAGAGCAGTAAGTCATTAAAAGAAAGACAGACATGGACTGGAGACAGCATGGAAGTTTTGCCGTCAAAGTAGGACTTGGGCTCCCCCTTGAGGGGTGGGTAGAACTTGACTCGACAGGAAAGAGGCAGAGAAGAGAGAAGAGCACCCTATGGGCACCAGGGAGTAAGTGGGTGTGAGACTGGGTGGGATGAAGGGAGATCGCCTGGTGAGAGCAGAGTTATGACAGGATCGTATGCATCGAGCCACAGGAAGGGCTGTGATGACTGAAAGGGGACAATGTCCCCCGCCACCTTTTTTTTCTGACTATAGTTTATGCTAAGTCTGGATAACCTAAACCTTGGCTTTCCAAAATTTGGCTAAAAACACTCTACCATAGCTTAGAATTTTGCTCACAGCTCTACTATAGAAAATATAGATGTCCTCTCTCTCCCAAAGAGACATGCAGTGGTTCAGTAATTTTGTCTTTTTACAGTTAGTACTTACAGTGTGGGACAGACAGATCCATGGCTCCCCAGTGACCAAAGGAATTGCTACTCCCAAATGCGCATGTTTACACCAACCTAAAAATTTTGCTGACAGACAAGGCATGCTACAGTGATTCTCAACTCTAGAGGCATAACATTTGCGTTCAGTGACCAGTGGGACAAAAGACAGGAAGTAATCTGGAATAAATATGAAGACCCAAATATTTAAAACATTTTCATTTTCAGAACTTAGAGCAGACCTAGGGCTTTCCTGTATCCAAGCTGATGCACTCACTGGCATTCCAATCTGCTCTCTAAGGGGAGCAGAAAGGCCTGGAGCTATAGCGCAAGGACAGCTTGCGAGTTGGTTCAGTTCCCCTGTGCCACCGTTCACCTAGGTATGCCCGTGGCAATGCACAGGTTCCATCTTGCGCTCGGGACAGGAGCTGGTTAAGTGCTGCTCAAGTCTGCCAGAGCCAAAGCAAGTCACGGCCACCCCTAGCTGAAACAAGCATGCCACCCCTTCTTGGAAAGCTTGTTCGAGTTTATGGAAATGCTCCTTGGCTTTTCTCAGGAAACGTCTGACCCATGTTGAAAGCATATTACACTACAGAACATTTTTTGTACTTAGTCAGCTGAGTGGGGAATTACATTTGAACGTTGCTTTACCATTGCAAGGTCCTCTGTAAACAGTGGTGGCGGATTCCTAACCATTTCAGAGTCAGTCCAACATTTTTACAGCTTCCATTAATAACATCTCCGAAAGGGAAGCTAGAATGACCCCGGTAACGCCTAGGAACCTGGAGCAGGTGTTGAAAGCAGGGGCGTTAGAGCGAGGCTGGCAAGCATTCAAGCCCTAACCTCTCCCTCACCGCCTGGGCGACCCTGGGCAGGTTACCTGACTTCTGCATTTCAGTTTCCTCACTTAGGAAATGGGAAAAGTGGTAGTAACTGTCTTATGGGATTCATCTGAGGGTGAAATAATGAATACAGAGCATTTAGCATAGTTCCTGATATAAAATGTGTTCTGTGCAATCCCACTTGCCATTAGCACAGTGCCTCATTAGTATTCTGACACTTATTCTTCTAAAAGTCTGTATTAACTGTTCAGTATTGTCATTTTTTAACAAGTGTGACTTATCTTTGTTATGGTCGTAGGTGTTGCTCCCTGAACCTACATTCTTACCCATGACATGAGGAGAACACTACTTGCCCTGCTAACTGAAAGAGTCAATAGTATGGGAATGGATTCTGAAAACTAAATATGTAAAAGTTATTAACTGAGAATTTTAATCTGCAATGCACTAACTGAAGTAAGCTTGTCGTCAATGGTGTGGATAAACAAAGGCATGTCAGAGTCACCATATCACGACAAGTCCTTTTCCCCAAACCTTCTCTAATGAGTTCATTTTAATCATATAGTGATTCAGTATTTTTTAAAAAAATATGTTTTTATTGATTCTTTAGAGAGAGAAGTGAGAGAGTGAAACATCAATCGGCAACCTCGAGCCTGCAACCTCAGCATGTGCCCTGACCGGGGATCAAACTGGTGACCTCTCAGCGTAAGGGACGATGCTCATCCAACTGAGCCACACCGGCCAGGGCAGCAATTCAATATCTTCATGTGATTATGACCCACATGTTTTAATTTGCCAAACGTTGCTTCTAGATTATTTTCCGAAACATCTGTTGAGCTCTTTCTTAGGAAAGTCACAATTTGGGTAGTGAATGAAATATGAGTTATTATTTTATTCTCAACTCAAGCCAAATCATGTTTATTCCTAATTTAAATCATCTACGCATAGAGCAATAATTAAATTAGGCTCAGGATGGCGTGGCTGGCAAGGCATGGACTTCTGGGATCTGAATACTAGTTCTAATTTTATTATTATTATTAAATAATAGCTGATTTAATTTTAAGCAATTTATTTTACCTCTCTGAACTTGCATCTGAAAAATGGGACTTGAACCACTACCTTTTAAAGGAGATGGTAATCTTAAAGAGCAAAGCTCGGTGCTGAGACCCAGGAAATGTTCTTAAAGTGAGAACAATTTAACAGAACAAAACAGCATCTACTTACAGGTCGCAGATGCCAGCCCTGGTGCGAATGAGAGGCACCAGCTGCAGTAACTGCTTCACCCCATTCTGCCACTCCTCTTCTCGTTCAAATTCACAGTACAAGTAGCTACACTCGTCAGATGAGAACTGGTAGAAAACATAGGTATCCTGAAAGTACAGATGCTGGTCCACTGTTGGAAAGACAAAAGGTGTGTGGATCAGTCTTTCAGAGTATATTATTTAGAGAGTCATAAGCCAAATACTAAACTGAAAGCACTACTAATTATTATTCACCAGAGGTAAGACAATAATTATACAGTCTAAGTCCATTCGTGTTCACAATCCCAGTGAATTAAAAAGTATATACTGGCCAATCTATTTTTAGTACTTGAAGGTTTGACCAGCATCTTCACATACATTTTATCATTTTTCTGCTTTAGGGACAGTTGAAATCTACAGTAATTCAAAGACAGTGGGGAGAAATTTCTTCAGTGTCCCAAAGCAAGCTAATACATGTAATTACTTTAGCGGTACCCAAACACAACATGGTGGCGAGTGTTAGATCAGTGGTTCTCAACCAGGGTGACTGTGTGTCCCCCGCCCCCCACTGGGAACACCTGGCAACATCCGGAGATACTTTTGGTTGTCGCAGCTAGGGGGTGCTATCGGCATCTGGTGGGTGGAAGACAAAGATGCTACTACACATCCTATAAGGTACAGGACAGCCCCCTTCAACGAAGAACTATCTAGCCCAAAATGCCAATGTTGCCAAGGTTAGTAAACACCATTTTAAAGGAATCAGAACTGGAGACTTTTCCAAAAAATATTAACACAAAACGTTTTGTTGAACCTTGCAAGCAAGCTGATAACATTGCTCAAAGGTACCTAACTGATTTTGTAAATAAGAGCATCAGGTGCCAGGTATTATTAACTCACTAAGATTATACCCCGTCCCCATCTGCACGACTCTTTCACAATGGGACTTGAGTATGCCTTTCCGAACCTTACTATGTGCTGTGGCCTTCGATATTTATTACCTACAGGGAAAAAAGGGCTTCCCAGTGACCCACCAGCACCTGTGTGATAGAGCTAAATAAAAAATCAGATTGCTTTACTCCTATCCTTCAATTCCCTGGGCTCAGCTAAGAAAAGAGATATCTACCATCTTTTTAGTTTCTAGTTAACATCAATTTGTTCATCTGTTTAAACAGCTAATTTTTATAGGTTGTATCTCTAACTATTCATGATTACTTAGTCAATCAAAATGGCATACACATTCCACTCATAAAATCAGTTCCTGATGATAATTCTAAGTACAGCAAGATAAATCACACATTTAGGGCAACTAAAGACGTCACTGATTTTTAAAAAAATTGTGAGCAGCATTTTGAGTAGAGAAGGGAGTGGGTAAGCAAAAGATCTGTATAAGTAGAAGTCTATGAACCAGCAGGTACCTAATTATTTTTACAAATGGTGAGAGAGAAATAAAAATCAAACGATGACCTGTCACTTTTATTTACAAGAGCGAATGCAGAATTTACCTGCAAAAAACAATTTCCATTCAGATTGTAGCATCCTCTAGAAAATCAAGTGCATTTTGGTCTGGTAGCTTAATACAATTTTTGAAGGACTCCGTGCCTTCAAAAGCAGGTACTACTTACCTGATGACATAATCCCCATGTCCAGTAGGAGCTGCCAGACCCCGATGGCCATGGATCTGCACTGGACGAAAGGACAGTGTTCCAGCAGCCAGTCCACCAGTTCTGACCCAACACAGCTTCTCCTGGACAAAAAGAAAGCCACTCACATAAGACACCGTCTCCATTCATTGGCCAAAAAATTGATATTTAATACCATCCCTCTCGTGTGCTTGCTTTTTTAAACAAGTGACTCAAAATTAAATGCCATGTAACTTTCACTCATTCATCTTTCAGATTTCAGCTCAAATATCACTTCCTTAGAGAAAGTTGGAATCAAACCCTCTTCTACTTTTTCCTCAAGTCACCTACCATTTAATAATTATGCGTCTTTCTGAATGAATAGTATCTGCTTTCCTCACTTAAGAATAATTTTCAGGAGAACAAGGACAATGCATAACTCACTATTAAACTCCAACAACTAGGACAGTCCAGGTGCACAGTAAGTTCTCAAAATGCATAACTTTGAATAAATGAAAAAATAAATTTGGCAGTCCTTTATAGAAAGAAAATGTTTCTGCCTTGGTAAGACAAGTACCTCAAGTTGGTGGTGATAAACTTTGGTTCAACCACTTGTAGATTTTTATCTAGTCTCTTAACAAAATTTTTTAAAAATTGATTTTAGAGAGAGGGGAAGAGAGAAGGGGAGAGAAACATTGATTGACTGCCTCCTGCACGCCCCCTACTGGGCATCAAGGAGGCAACCCGGGCATGTGCCCTGATGGGGAATCGAACCAGCAACCTTCCAGTATTCAACCAACTGAGCCACACCGACCAGGGCTTATCTAGTTTCTTTAATAAGAACAAAATAATTCCAAGAAGGTTAGACAGAGTTGGGACCACAGTGCGTGGTATAAAATTTTGTTTGCTACTTTTAAATCCTACAGTCTGTCTCAAAGAACAATAAATTTGACTGTGAATCTTTTAAATTTAATATAATCTAAACAATCTAGCTAAGCAACCTAGATCATAAAGCCCATAAATCCAGATGTGCGTGAAGGATTTCACTAACCACACACACAAAATATTCTCTGTAATCTGTCTTAAAATATACAACTATATTCAAAGAATGTCCCAATCTTGGCATTACAAGAAGTATCTTCATGCCTACTTTTCCTTCTTCATGAGCCCGGGATGAAAAACCAAAGGAAGAAAACTTGCTGAAATATGAATTTTCATTTGCAGAAATTTCATTGAACACCATTCTCCCTTATGAGAAACTGTCACCAAAATGTTTTTTTAAAATGATGTATCGTGTAAATGGCCATGTTCATTCTATATTTGGTATTTAAGGACCGAAAGATGTCAAAGATTTAGGAATACTTTATTTGTATTCCTAAAACAGAAAAATATGGCCTATCTCTTGTGATTGGCATAGGCACAAATGCCTAGAAATCACACAGTAACCAACAATATGAAGAAATGCCATGTGGTGCTACATTTTCCAAGGTAAAGAAAAAATAAAGTAGTAAGTTTTTCTGCTGAGAGATTTGATCAAACATTCCGGCTTTTGATAACGCATCACTTTTTTTGGTCCAGCGTCACTGTAAGATGCTCAAAGGCAATTAAGGCCACATCAGACGTGTTTAATTGCAGGTTAGCATTAAGACGTGAAAAAGATTAACAGTCAAATAAATGGATGTGTTTTTTAAACAAAAGGAGAAAACAGATCACAACAAAACAGGCAATTAGACCAATATTAATTTCTAATTCACAGGACACCTTTCATGTTAAAGGCTCCAAGTGTTAATTAATGCCTCAGCACCTCTGTCAATTAGCCGCATCTTCGCACTAATTGCTCGTAGCACAGTCGTCACGTGGCGGAAACACTGTATCGTTTTTAATCATCTTTAGAAAATGCAGCTCCTTGGCCTCCGCTGCGGAGTATGAGAGAACGCAACGGAACATTTACTCAATAAACTAAACCGCTGCACTGCACAAGGGGGCTCGACGGACGTGTGCATGCTTGTTCGCAGGTGGGGGCGAAATGTCTCAGCAGGGGCTCCTCAAAATCGTGGTCAGGCGTTACCCGGAGAGCCTGTTACCCTGCGGGCTCCCAGGCAGGGTGGCCGGCTGGGGCCAGAGTCCTCAGTCCTAGCCGGCTCCCCGCGATGCTGGCGACCACAAAGTCTACCTTGTCGCCGGGTGGGGGCCTCCCTCTGTTTGGGGGGCAGGGCTGAGGTGAGCTGCCCAGCCAGGCGTGGCTCAGCGGTTGAGTATCGACCTAAGATCCAGGCGATCGGGGTTCGATTCCCGGTCAGGGCACATGCCCGGGTTGCGGGCTGGATCCCCAGTCAGGGGCGTGCAGGAGGCAACCGATCAATGACTCTCATCATTGATGTTTCTCTCTCTCTCTCTCTCTCTCCTTCCTTCTCTCTGAAATCAATAAAGATATATTAAAAAGTTAAAAAATAATAATGAGGTGAGCTGCCTCGGCATTGAACTCATCCGCCCCTGGCTTCCGAGCAGGCCCGCACAGTCCAGTTAAAATACCTAAATCCCCAGGATTCAGGGGAGAGCAGTGAGGAAGAAACCCAACGGACGTGGTCGAAAGGGGCGATCTGACTACCGAGAGAGTTCTCCCTCCTGGTGTGTTTTCAGTCTCGTGCTGAATCCAGAAACTGTCCCAAGGGCGTGTGGCTCTAACCACGGCAGCGCGCTGGGTGGGACAGGACCACTGCGCTACAGGGGATCGGCCACAAGGCCGACGTGATAACAAAACATCACTTAAACAATCTCAGTTGAACATCTCTCGGCTTCCTTCTGCCTCTGGTTACATTTTTAGCAATAAATTCACAGTAGTGCGGACATAACTTAATCTTGATATAAATGCGGTGACAGTGTTCAGAGCTCAGTTTTGAAGGTAATTCTCATGTGGTACACGGGGAACACGTTACGTTAATTCCCCATCCGACGAATGAAAGTGATCTGTTCTGGGCCATCACATTAGCACTTCGTCTTTATACCCACAACATGAATCAGTCCTTAGATTTTAAACAAAGGAGGTTCTGGCCTGACCACTGGGAATGTGAAATAGCAAAACACATGCTCTCCCCCCATTCTGTTCCCATCAGTATGTTCTAATGTGGATGGTTCTTTTCCATGAATCCAAGTAATGTACATCTAATTCTTTTTTCAATCTATATCCAGAGAGATCACATAAAGAAGCAAAAGAGAACAATGGCAGGCATTACACACGGCCTTATGTGGTAGCTCAAACGCATCCTAGGAGCCCTGGCTGGGTAGATCAGTTGGCTGGAGTGTTGTCCTGATACGCCAAGGTTGCGGGTTCAATCCCCGGTCAGGGCACATATAAGAATCAACCAACGAATGCATAAATCAGTGGAACAACAAATCAATGTCTCTCTCTCCCTCTCTCTCTCTCAAATCAATCAATAAAAAAGAAAATTAAAAAAAAAGAATCCTGTGAACTTGCTCACAAGCAAATACAGTTTTTGCTTAAAAAAAAAGAAAAAAAAATCAGACATGTCTAAGTTTAGTTAAAGAAACAACCTTTTATTCTGGAAATCCTTCCTACTTTTTGTTGCTGTTACTTATCCTAAGTATTCTTCCTGTGCTTTATAGTATTATAATCTCATTTCCGTAAGAAGGAATAATGGTAATGAATGATAGCCGCTTTTTCTCTTTCTTTTCTCTTTGTAGTTTTATTTTGGTGTTGCTTGGTGTGGTTTAATACCTTTACTTAAAAGTAAAAATAATAAAAATATGGGAAAATAATTTTTAAAACTTTTGCTTTTTCTTTAAACTCCAGAAAATGAAACCATGTGCTCCAAACCTTCTGAGTGACCACTCTCTTGGCCCAGCTGTACTTTAAAGCTGGCCACCAACCCGCCCACTTACTCCAATGCCTCTGCCCTTATCCACCAACCAAGGCAGAGAAATGCCATCCTAGGCCAACCTACCCTTCCCCCTCTTCCTAGCACCCAAGAAGGATGCTCACCCTCACCTCGCCAGCTGAGCACGAGCTCTCTCAGTCCATGGCCCTCCAGAGAATCCTCTCATAGTCTCCTAAGGTCCCTGAAGGGGGAACCCCTATTTATGGGTGTCCCAGTGCAGCACATGCCCAATAAAATTATTATAAAATGTCCCATCTCAGAGAAAGCAGAGGCTCTCTCAGGAACCCATCCACACCAGGGGGTGCCAGACCCTAGCTTCAGAACCAGGAGTCCAACTGTCAACAAACACTTAGCTATGTTTAAAGAGGAGATAAGTCACCACCACTAACCCAAAAGGACACTTCAGACAAACTGATCAACCCCTCCTGCTACTGATACAGCCTGTCTCTCCGTGATCAAGGTTAAGATTTTAACACATTTTTTTTTCACAAGGAGAATTTATGACAGGGTGTTAGAAAACTGTGTTACCTGTAAAATCCCTTGAGGTTCACTCTGTCCTTTATCAGGTCAGCTGCCTGAACGATGATAATATTCCTCAATGCTCTTCCTGCACAAGAGGAATTCTCCCCATAAATCTAAATGGAAAAAGCAAACATTTGCTATAAGTTTAGAAAAATCATGCAGTAATTTGTGAGACTACTAAATATAAAAAAACATGACCAAATCCATAAGCTGAAGACACTTATGTAGCTACAAACACAATTACCTATTTTATTTTACTTTTACTATTGGTTCATTTATGCTCTAAAGCTATAATAGCTATTTTCCATATGCTAAACTGCTTTAACCATAATTATAAGTAATCTTTTTTACACAAGTTTTTAGTGTAAAATATCCACTGGTTTTAAATACATAGTGTTTCTATCAATCTGGCAAATCAAAGAATATTTTTATTATGCATTAACTCTGCCATATTTGTAACACATCCATATAAAGGTCCAGGGAGATGGGAAACTGACTTTTCCCTCTCTGGTGAACATCTTGCACCATGACACAGTTTGATACCAGGCTTCTGCCTGGTTAGCTTTTAAGCTTTGTTCAGCTGCTGAGAGTTCAGAGTTAATTCCAAGAATCCTGGTTTCATCTACTTCGCGATTCCATCTAGCAGATAAAAATTTCATTTAACTTCGTTTTTTNGAATCCTGGTTTCATCTACTTCGTGATTCCATCTAGCAGATAAAAATTTCATTTAACTTCATTTTTTAATCTTCTTATTTGCCCCTCTGAGTCTCTGAGTCTTGGAGGAGGNAATCCTGGTTTCATCTACTTCGCGATTCCATCTAGCAGATAAAAATTTCATTTAACTTCGTTTTTTAATCTTCTTATTTGCCCCTCTGAGTCTCTGAGTCTTGGAGGAGGAAGGTATTCCTTAGATCCAGAGAGGTTTATGTCCCCTAATACGACCTCCTTTCTCCATAGCTGGCACCTCCCTCGCAAGTGCACTGCGCTGCACAGGCAAAGGAGCTAAATGACAATGAACTGTCTTCATACGTAAAGGCTCACGAGAGTGAATCGATATAGGGGGTATGTGTTCATATCTGTTCACTCGTTTCTTGGTGAACTCTTTTTGCACCTACAAAATTTTGCCCCTATAAAATATATATCTTCTCTCCAAGCAAACAAATGGATAATATGTTGATTATAACTTGACAGGGAAGGATTCAACTTCATCCTTATACTTCTTTAATTTTCCTGTTATCACCTTCTAAACACAACTTTATGAGAAAGTGAGGACAGGGAATGATTTATTTTTAACGTGTTAAACTTAACAAAACTATGAACAAGCTAGATGGCAGAAACTATGGCCCTAAGAGACGCATAAGTCAGCTGACACTTGACTAGGCCTGACGTGATACCAATATGCAGTCACTCAGTCATTCGGAAAAACAGTTAATGAGCAACATTAGGTATCAGGCCTCAGTCTAGATGCTGGGGATACAATAATGGAACGAGGCCAAAAAGGGCCCTGTCCTCACAAAGCTCATGATCTCCTGCTGTTTTAAAAAGGCAACTCTTTGTTGCCTGATTCTTTAACACAACACGGTAAAGAAGGCATCCTCATCGTTTCTCACCAGTTAGCATACAGTGATATTCTAGTATTAGATAAATGTAAATGTAAATGTAAATATAAATATAAATAATCCCCTTGCCAGTTTTCAGTGTAAAATATCCACTATTTTAAAAAATACAGTGTTTCTATACAGGAAATTGAAAATATTTATATGATGGATTAACTCTGCTACACTGATAATGTATTCATGTGAAGGACTTGGAAGAGGGTCCTTTCTATCTAGTGAACATCTTGAATATGACACAATGATCAGGACATCTCATTTCACTTTGGCTGTGTCATCCCCAGGTGAAGGAGCAAAGGGGACAGCTATAACTAGAGAATTTTAACATCAGGATCTGTGAATCGCTATTTCAGAAAATACAGTAAGAGAGAAAAGAGTCATACCTGGGAAGAAGTATGTTCCAGGTATGGATTGGAAATTCTTCTCGGGAGAGCCTATTTTAAAAGAAAAGGGGGGGAGGAATTAGAACCAAATAGAAATCACTGTACCATAAGAGTACAATTTACACAACAGCAGAAGTCCCAGGAGTTGTCCATGCCAAGAGATGAGCTTAAATCTCAAGTCACAGAACACTAACGTTTTTACTCTCACTCGGTGTAAATACCTGGTCAACATTCACTCCAACGGGGCAGGAATATACCATGTGAATGACTCCCAATCTGCAAAGTATAAATTTAAGTGCTACAGAAAGACTGGGATGTCTTTGCCTTGCACTTCTCCCTGGCTTCTTGACTCTTCAACGTGTACTGACTAGAAGAATCTGCCACTCACACACCACCTCTGCACCCCCATTCTCTGTTAGAAAGCCCTCAGTCTTCCCCGATACGTTCCTGAATCCCACCAGGTTCAAGTCCAGGTTTGTGCAGGAGCCTCCCAGGCGAAGCTCCTCCGACCCACCCCAGCCAGCAGGGTTTGTCGCCTTTGGAGCTCTTTGCGTTTTCAGCTGTTCCTACGGCAGCTCCTGGGTGCTCTCACTGTCGGCTGTCTTGCTGCGGGTGCATTGCCCCAACTAATCCACAAGCTCCTGGAGAGAGTATCGGCAGCTTATACAACTTTGCTTTCGCGGCACCCAGCACAGCAACGTTCATCTTTCTGTTCACTTACTTGTAGATATTTGTATCTCTGTATCAACTCAGCAATATAGGAGCTAATTTTTCCAGCCTAACAATCCAGTAGGCAGCACAATCACCCGCATATGCTTAAGCACAGTGGAAAATTGTTATTTCCCATGGTAGTATAGGAAAAAGAACAGAGGACCTAACATTGACTGAGATTTCAACCCATGTTTTAAAAGCTCCTGACACCTTTATTCCTAAGCTTGCTGTCTTTTCAGGTCCCACAATTTTTAGTCTGTTGCCTCCACTTCTTAGAATTTGCTAAATTTACAAAACATACCCTGCCGATCATGGCTTCGAGCATCTGAACCTTCTACCAAAATTCAAAGTAAGACAGAATTCCCATTCCGCCTCTTGCCCACTCCACATGCCTCCCATCCTACTTATCTTCTAATTAAACTAAAATAGATATATAGACCCTTTATCCAAAAATGCCAATTGTTACGCTCTGCTGAAGATTTGCAATGGCTTCCAAGAAAATGAAATTAATAAGGTACACGGGCCATTCTTAATTCCCATGTATTAAAACAAAATATCCACCTACCCCTTCTGGTCTATCTATACACACTCCCAAATGGCTCTTCCTAGGCCTTCTGTCATCCCAGCCTTGGTAATGTATTCACTTACTGAAATACTGAACAATTTAAAATTTGCATATGCACCAGATTTATAATTTGAAGATGAATCATCATGACAAGTGAATTTTTTCCCCTCAACAGAGGGACTTTTAAATATCAATATGGCAGGCCAGAACTGACAATCTTTATTACTCATCTAATTGCCTGAATCGCTCAGAAAAGCAAATACTTTCTATGATCCAGTTTAAAAGACAGCGTTTAGGTAGAAACAAGTTCTAAAGAACCAGGCAAGGGCCCTTTCACAAAAGAAAGCAAACCACTTCCTTTCTCTGCGCTGCCAACTTAAACCTGGCTGTTTCAACACTAGTCTTACACTCGCACAATTCCGCTTCTCAGAAACTTCCCCCCTGGATGGCTCGTTTGAAAAGATTGGTAAGGTGAGTAAATAAAGCGATGGGATTCTTCCAGGCTGACTAGATAACAGGGGGAGATAAGCCCCTGGCCCGCGGGGACCCGAGAGCAGCATAAGGCCTGCCTTTCACAGGACACAAAGCCTGGGTCTGCTCGGAACCGCTGCGAAGCCCTCTCCTAGCTGGGCCTGAGCTTTGTTTCATCCACGCTCCAAGGCACAGCTCAGACTCGGCCTAGCTCCCGAGCCACAGGGCTCTCTGTAGAACTTCGTAGAGTACTGATTTGTTAAACTTAAAATAACTGCCCTAAGTATGTATTTTTTTTTAGAGGTCACTCTATGTAGGTTGTTGAAAGAATAACAAGTGCTGAAGACTTGAGGAAAGAACAGGGAGGAACAGTCCATCCGTTCCTCATTCTAATCAGGTACCGGAAAGGGCTGTGGGGTAATTTCATCAGGGGGCAGCATGCGCCAGCTTCCAGGAACCCGAGACCCCCTGCTCTAAGTCACCTCACAAATGCCCTCGGCATCCACCCGCAGGAGGGGCCTGCAAAGGCGCCCCCCTCCTCTTCAAGGTGCTTCCTCTAATCACAAGCGCTCAGCTCTTCTCTTGCCGCCTTTGAATCCCTTGGTTTTACTTCTCTCAGGATTCAAGGGGTTCATCTAATCACTCCTCCGAAAACTAACTTCCACTCATTTCACAAGCATCACGAAGCCCCTCCTGAGCTCCTCTCCAGGCACTGTGGGAACTTCCACAGACACACATGGGAGCAAGATGCCTGCCCATCCCTAATGCAGGGATCACTTAGGAGAAGACACGGGGTCTAAAGAACACTTTAAGCCCACGAGTTCTCTGTCTGGATCCCGATTTCCTATCAATTTACTCTATAATCTTGGACAGCTGGTCGAATCGATGCAGGTGTCCAGTTTTAAATGGCTCTCACCATCACACCTCATAAACACAATACCCAGGCAAGATAATTTCCAATTTCCTAGAATTATTTATGTTAGATGCAATGATTCTTTCATGAAAGACATACGTACACCGTAGAGAGAAGACTGCTAACAATACAAATAAAATTAGATTGTAATTCAAATTTATTTTTTCTTCTTTCCATTTTAATAAACCATGACAAAGGATTCCCTAAACAATTCTAGGCAAACCTCATATTTTAAACATGTGTGAGAAAATTACAACCCTTTAATATTCACAAATGAACTTCCAGAAAAAAAATAACAGCATAACTCAAGAGGATAATTGGTTAGCAATCATATATTACGTTCATGGTTTTTTAGTTAGGTATCCACTAAAGTTAAGCTATAATAGCCTGTGAGGCTGGGTCTGAACCAAGGATGAAATTCATTCCAGTCACTAAAATTATCTTGATAAACTATACGATAGACTTAAGGCACATTTTTTATCAGCTCTTAAAGGACATGTCTTAATACTCTCCTTGGACTGAGTTAAAGAACTTGGGCTACCTAAGGGGAAAAGAAAGGCTGAACCAGTTTAATCCCCACAGCAGTGCGACCTGCTCTATCACAAACACAAAGCTTACTGATAACTTGAGAATTCAGTTCATGACACAACTTTCTATCACCTCCAGCCACTGTCCTGTCCCTATTCTGGGTGATCAAGTAGAATATGACGATGTTAAGGTAGAACAAGTATAATTAGATTTCTCACAATCCTATGAAGCCAAAAAGCTCCGTAAGTAACTGCAGGACACACATGTTAAGAGATCGTGGACTAAAACAGTAAAAGGTGTGATCTAGTAGGCTCTCCAGTAGAATACTAAGTCTGTGGGTCCTATTTAAGCCCGAGGATACACTGACATCTCAATCAAAGCTTGATCAAGCTTAAAATGACAGAATCCCAGGCAGTGTGTCGGCTTGAGAATTACACGGTCATCACAAGTTAAGCACAGTGCAGTCTGGAGACATGAGCCAGCTGGTGAAATGGAAGGGCAGGGCAGTTCACCACGACTCCCCTCCTGCAGGCTCCGGTCACGATTCAGGCCCACAACCATTTCCCCAAGGAAGGTGCTCCCAGCAGCCAGTCACAGCCACAAAGGCCCTTCGTAATACTATCTTCTCAACGTAGCCTGGCCACATTAAAGTCCACGATGTTCTTAAGATTACATTTTTCTCTTGCTCTATGACATGTAGAATGAAAGGGAAGGTGGCAGAAATGCTTACTGAGCATTTCCCTTGTCTTATGCACCTTCTCGTATTAGAAATTGTACCCACCTATTCATATTTTTACAGACAAGAGGCCTAAGGGTGAGAGAAATTAAGAAATTTACTTAAGGTCCCAGAGCTGGAAAGTAAGAGAGCCAGAAATAAAACAAAAGTGACGGATTCCAAAGCCACCACTCTCCTGTAACATGCTGCATGTCATTAAATAATAAATAATTGCCCTGGCCAGTGTGGCTCACTTGGTTGTCCTGTACACGGAAGGACTGCGGGTTCAATTCCAGGTCAGGGCACATACCTAGGTTGTGGGTTCCATCGCAGGTCAGGGCGAGTGCAGAAAGCAACCCACTGATGTTCTCTCTCACATCAATGTTTCTCTCTCTCTCCCTCTCTCCCCCTCGCTCAAAAATCAGTAAGCATATCCTCGGGTGAGGATTTGAGTTTCTAGTATGTGCTAGAAGTTGTGCTAAATATTTTACATGCAACATAGCACTTAATCCTTGAAAAACTGTGAGATGGGTACTATTATTAATCCCGTTTGCAGATAACAAAACCAGACTTAAAGAGGTTAAGCAATTCACCGAGTTTGTGCCTTAAGCCTATCTTTAGCTACCGCCCCATATATGTGTCTTCTGAGTTAGAATGTGGTGACTTAAGAGGAATGTGACAGACGAGGGCATCTAACTGCAAGAAGGAGTCATAAGTAGCATCCACTACATCCAGCGGTTCTCAACCCTGGATATGAATTAAGCCACATGGGGAACTAAACAAATAAACTAAACAGGCGGTTGGGTCTCACCCCAGACCCACAGAATTAGAGCCTCTAGGAGCGGCACCTGCTGGGTTTGGCCAGTCTCCCCAGGCTGTTCTAACGCAGGTTTGAGAAAACTGTCAAAATCAGCGGTTGAAACTGGTAACTTGAACATCTCATCACCCACCTCGGCCATGAGGCTTGCAGCACCGCTCAAGCGTCGCCTGTCACACTCCCGGCTGAGTTCCCAGCACAGTACAGGAGTAAGTCACTTGACCAACAACACTGGGCTCTGCGGCTGAGCTTCTAAGTGTGGCTGGTGCAGAACAAAGGGCCAGTGTTTCGGCAAAGCCCACGTTGCGCCTGTTCGTGTGGTGTGTTTTCC